AGAGAGAGAGAGAGAGAGAGAGAGAGAAAGGGGGAACTCTTTTTGTTACTCAAACCTGGTAACCTAAATCCAAACCACGTGGAAGCTTAGTAATAGTACGGTCGAGAATTCGCTACTTAACTTATCCTAAAATATCTCTTTAACGGGTAAATCAGTGTCAGGTATACTTTGCACAGCGGTTTGTATCGATTTGTTTTAACTTAATAATATTTTCCACAACTGTTGAGGCTAGACTTAAAAACGTTTCTTCCTTAATTTATATAAAATACTATAAATCTCTATCAAGTGGAAATGTGATTGTTCACAGCACTTCCCGCTTCTCACACACATTTTGTATACGCATAGATTGTCTACGTCACAGCTCATAAATGACACTTTTTAGTGGCAAAACTAGTTGCGAGATATTTGTTTTATAGTGAACACTTTATTTTCGCTAAAGATTTTCAAAACGTGTGTTCAATAAACATAATGTCGCGATTAGATAAACATAGACTTACTTTTAAAAGCGATATTGCCCAATCTGTAAACCTTTTAAAATCTATAGGAATCACCCACTTGGACTTTTTAATACTATATATTAAGGAATTTTCTAGAACAATGCGGACAAGTTTTTACAGAAATATTGATCTGTTATGACAAAATGATATATGATATAATTATGGCATTTTGCAAAAGCTGGAAAGTCTAAGTCATTACTTTAGGGAGTATTTGACAATAAGTTGCGCCACGAATATTTGACCGCACTATAGTGGCACACATGTGAAGTGTCAGAAAAGACATATAGTAGATTACAGCAATGCCCAGAGGGTACCCCGTCTATAGTCACCATTTCTCTGAGATAATATCTGGCCTGATCAGAGGATCCTACGAAAGGAGTGCCCCGCCTAGCCCTTTGTAATGTACCTGGGGTAGATCGGGCACATTAGAGAGAATAATATACAAGATATCTCTCTGTATGTGTGGCTGGCTGTGTGTTTGTTAAGGAGTCCGTCTGTTTGTCTGTCTGTTTGTCTGTCTGTTTGTCCGTCTGTTTGTCAGCTTGTTTTGGTGTTTGTTAGGGTGTCTGTCTGCCAGTCTGTTCGTCGGTCTTTTTTTCTATTTCCCTTTGTGAAACCATCTCTTTTTCTTTCTCTCTGTCTTTCTCTCGCTCTCTCTCTCTCTCTCTCTCTCTCT